GAAATCGACCCTGGGCTGGGTCCTTCCCAATGAAGCTAACAGGGGGAAAAAAAAAGTAAAAATAGTGCTCATTCTTAAAAAAATTTTTTTCCAAAATTATGTTTATAAGGAACCTTGGAGAAGGTCTATGCGATTAATCCAGGGGGTCTTTCTCCTTCACACTTTAGGGTATCACCTTGTACAGAAGACAAAGTGTCAATGAAAATATCGCACTTAAAACCTCTTTTCTTAAAAAATTTCTGCCCCAATAGGTTTGCAGATGCATTTCACGAAAATCCTTTAAAATGGAGCGAAAAGAGAACTGTTGGTCATTTTGGCATCTTCATTTATGTCATTCCAGAGACGGCACCACCCGGATCCCAAATCTGTTCTCAGAAATGTGCGCAAGAAGATTCTCCAGGGACTTGGGGGAGCCTGGATAAAGTGCACTGGCTCCCTGCCAGGACAAAGAACACAATGATATTCTGTTAAAAAGCTGAGTGCTTCCCCCCTCCCTTTCTTCTTTCTTGGAGGGGTTGTTGTTATTCAGTCTCGCTAAGTCATGTCCGGCTCTTTGTGACCCCATGAACTGCAACACGCCAGGCTTACCTGTCCTCCACTATCTCTCAGAGTTTGCTTGAACTCATGGAGGGGGAGTTTTTCTTTGTGCATCAAATCCCTGAAGACCACAAATAAATCCCAGACATTAACGCTGATGCAGTCAGAACAGGAAGTGTTAACACCAAAATGAGCAATGAACTTGAAAAGATTCCCGCCTTAGATCATACTGGGATGTGCTTAGCTCTTAGAAGATGCTTATCTTACTGATAAGGACCTGTCAGGGAGGAGCGATCAGACTGTGCTCCACGGAGTCCTGAAGATGCAGTTGGGGATCCATGTCAGGTGCTGGGATCAGTGGCAGCATCCAGGAGTGGCTTGGAAGGGAAGGCCTTGAACTCCACCATAATCTCTATCAAGTCACACACTCAAATAAAAATACCATCTAAGGAAAACCAGTGGACTTATTATACAAAAGCAGCTTCAAAGAGAGCTGTTGGACCCTTTTCCAGGCAGCTGACAAACTCCTAAAATTCCCCTAATGAGACAATGTCTGCGTCTCCAACCCACCTTTCCCACTACAGACTGATTCACGCATCCAGTTTAGGGATATTTCCTTCCACCAAGGAATCCCAGAGCGGGAAGAAGTGAGAGAATCCCTGGCTTGTAACAAAAAGAGCTTTGCTCCAGGTTCTGGCCTGGACCTTGACCTTGCTATGAGACGGGCGACTAACTGACTGAACATTCTAGAGCGCTAGTCTCCTCTCCCACAAAATGAAATGGATCAACTCTAGACCATCTGTAATAGCCCTTCCGAATCTAAAATTCTACAATCTCTATCACCAAATGTTTCAAATAAACACAAAGACAACTGTCTCTTTACAGGCAACTATTGGCCCCTAGGGACCTCTGCTGTTTAGAACTTTCCAACAGGCTTATATTTAGTTCGGAGACAACAACACTGAACATACATGAGGAGAATATTCCAATGAAGTGGGTTTTTTAAGTTAAAATGAATCTATGGGATGTTGCTTCTTATAGTTCTTTACTCTGAATATGAAAGTCTAAGAAACAAAACGCCAACACTCTGAGCTAGACTGTAATTCAGCTTTATTTGCTTGATCTCCTAGAGCTATTCTTCTTTCCTGGAACTAGGGAACATTTTATGAGTCAAAATAAGGTGAGTGAAACAGTAGAAACCAGGATTCTCTATACCCATTCTAAAAGGCCTTTGGTTTTTCATGTAGTTGACAGTGCTAATTTTCAAGAAATTTTTGTTTTCTTTTTGCTGGATTAAATATGAGTAATGGACAAAAAGCTGAGTAAGGAGAAACAAATACTTTTTTTTTTATATACCATGGCTCTGGCTTTACTTTGGCTAGTAACTAGCTGTGTGGCCTGGCACACGTTACTTAGCCTTTCTGAACTCTGGTTCACTCATCTGTACAATGTGGGTAACACATCAGTCCACCTTCCGTTCCCTTCTACCAGGAGTTAAGTGAGATAAGGCCAGGGAAAAAGAACAGACATATAGTATTGGTTCTTTTGAGGACTTTCCAAAACAGGGGCATTTGCCTAATTTTTTAAAGTATGGACATTGCTATCAATTAACTGTGGCGGTTAGAACAGAGAGAAGTCCTAAAACAGGCTGAATCAGGCCCAGATTAAATCAAGAGTTGTAGCAAGGGGACTTCTCTGGCAGTCCAATGGTTAAGATTCCCCCTTCTGATGGAGAGGGCACAGGTTCAATTCCTGGTCAGGGAACAAAGGTCCCAGGGCATGTGAGATGAGGCCAAAAATTAAAAAAAAAAAAAGAAGAAGAAAAGAGTTGAAGCAAAAGTGAGGCTTCCAAAAGTCTATTAAGTTGATGGCAATTTTTTTTTTTAAACTTATTTACTCATCTATTTTCGGCTGCACTGGGTCCTCATTGTTACAGGCGGGCTTTCTCTAATTTCGGAGAGTGGGGGCTACTCTTTGCTGAGGTGTGTGGGCTTCTCATTGCGATGGTTTCTCTTGTTGCAGAACACGGGCTCTAGGTGAGCCAGCTTCAGTAGTTGAGGCTTGTGGGCTCTAGAGCTCTGACTTAGTAGTTGTGGCACCTGGGCTCAGATGATCTGTAGCGTGTGGGATCTTCCCGGACCAGGGATTGAACCTGTATCCCCTGCACTGGCGGGTGGCTTCTTCACCACTGGACCACCAGGGAAACCCCAATAACTGTCTTCTTTGAAGGCACATCAGTTGCTTCCCCAGTTTTCAGTGTTAAGGTTAGGAGGACATAGTGCTAAGGTGGATGGTGGATTTGTGGGGTTCACTACCAGTCAGACCCTAGGGGTCTAACCTCTGGTAAGCTGGGCCTCCTGTCCTCACGCATCATGATTTGGTTAATCTGAATCCTTCAACTTGGAAACCTCTCTCAACCTAAACTGCCCTCCTGTTTCTCTAACAAAGAAGAAAACTACTTCGGAATACGACCTTTCAGATACTGAATCACCCTTTGGTCCAAATGAATGATACATTAAGTAAGCTATAATTATACATTAGGTTACAGGCCTAGCCTCATTTCATTTGCCAATTAAGAAAAGAACGGCCTCCACCTATACCACTCAAATAAGATTACTTCACACCAAAATTGTAGTTGTTTCAGTACAAAATAATAATAATAATAATAAGTGTACAAAGGGTGGTGGTGCCTGAGGATTCAAGAAAGCCTGAAAAAGGAACCAACCAGAATAAAGAGACGTTGCAGGTGGTATAGATGATTCTAGAGTTGGTTACTTTCTTGACTATCACCTGCCTTGCTGGGCATTTCATGCCATACCAGCGTTGCCCTGAGATCCCAAACTCCTCTCAATAAATAAAGTCATTAGGAGGAGATGGAGTGGAAGCAGACACACCTCCAAGCTGAACTACTCCAGCTTAGTGGCTCAGAGGTTGGGAAGATCTCAACAATTCCTAAAATTGCTTTGGTTAACCAGTTTCATTCATTTTGCCGCCCCATTGTCCACAGAGCCAGGTGCTACTTCTCCACAGGATTTCTCCACGGTCTGCCTACCCACATCCTTCAAGGATCTTGCTCAAATGCTGTCTCCTCCAAAGTCGTCACAGAACTGCGCTGCTCGGGTGTTCATTGGATAGGGGGGCTGATCTCTCTTTGGCAGTCAGCCTCCCTCGGATACATTTTGCAAACGCGGAGCTACTTTTATCTGGCCTTGGATTGTACTGTCTTAACACTTGCTCCAGATGACACATGCAGACAACCACGTTCTTAGTTAAAAATCTTTTTCTCTCCCAAAGCACCTTGCCCCTTCCCCAAAGTAGTGGCTCGAGAACATATCAGAAAGATTAAGGGCACTGTATTTAAACAAACACGGTTTGGGTCGCCGGTGTCACGTGTGTTGTCACACCAAACCACACTAGTTAAGTTTCAGATAGTCCTGATTGGCTTCAAGCTCCCTCGCAGTCCCTGGACAGGCGCTAAGCAATTGTGAAATCACCAAAAAAGTAGGGAGGCAGGGGGGGAATAAAGGGAAGCCGGGCCTGAATAATCCTCACTGAGTCATCGTTTCCTGAATGATAGAGCTTGCCGCTTGGCGGGGACGAGGGGTGCAGATCCGGAGAAAGCAACCTGAGCGGCCCGTGGAGGACAAGCCCAGAAGAGTCCCCCGCCCCTCGCCCTACAGCTGGGGGACCCGAGAGCCCGGGGCGCCCTGACGGCACCCACGTGCTACAGCGCCCCCCTGTGGCCGCGCCGCAGTCCCCGCCGCTCCCCGCTCGCCCGCAGACCGCTCTCGCCGCGGCCCAAGAAACAAGACACGCACGAAGTTTCCGAGCCAGGCGGTTAGAGAAAGGTCGAGGCCAAGCTCCGGAGCCTCGAAGCGCGGGCGTGGCTGGAACGGCGCCCAGGTTGGCGGCGATGGCAAGGGGTCTGGGTCCAAACGGACTGCCCCCTCCCCAAGGATTCCGAGGTGCCCCCAAGCGGGACCCGGGCCCTCCAAATCCCGAGGGCGAAGAACTGCTCCCTTACCCCAACCTTCTAGCGGTGGGCGGGAGGGGAACCCGGGTCCAAGACAGGAACGGGATGCCCCCTCCCAGGGTTGCGCTACCAGGGTGTGCTTGGAGCTCTTGGGTATGCTTTTCTCGTTTTCTTAATTGGAGGGAGGGGACGACCAACTCCCTTTGGCGCATTCTGATCCTCAGCGTTCCGAATTCTGGATGCCCCTAAAGAACCCACCTGCAATCCACCGCCCCACCCAACGTTGCCCTCCTTGCTGGGGTGACAAGTGGAAGCAGCAACCCCCCCTCCTCCTGCCCCTCCAGCCTCCCGGTTTGGGAGGCAATGTTCCACCAGGGTTTTCCCCGCCGTCCGCAGTGGACCCGCTGGCGGGAGGCGGCGGCGGAGGGGAAGCGGCGCCCCGGAGCCGGGGACCCGGAGCGGGCGAGGCCCGGCCCGGCGCGGCGCTTACCTCGTCCACGGTGAGTGGCATGCAGATCCGATACTCCTTCAGCAGCATGGTCCTGCCGGCCACGGACCTCCGAGGCGGGAAGCGGGCGGGGCGGGGGTGGGGGCGCCCCCAGAGCAACAAGGCTGCCGCCAAGGCGCAGGGCTGGGCGCCGGGAGCCCCGTGCTTGGAGCCGGTCGGCGAAGCAACCCCCCGGGCGGTGCGCTCAGTTCCTGGGTTCCTCCTCTCCGCCCGAGAGCATGTCAAGGTTTGGGTCCGGGTGTTCGCGGCTCCCCCGCCTCCTTCCTCGCCGAGGTCGATCCGCCTGGAACGCGGTGTTGCAAAGTCAGGGAGGGAGGGAGACCCACTGGAAACCAATCTGATCGGCAGCCCCGGGCAGCAGGAGCGGAAGCCAGATCAGGACATGCCCGTCGGCGGGCGAGGAAGGGGAAAAAAAAAAAAAAAACACGAGGTTTCCAAAAATTACACGGAATACACAAAAGTCACCCTCTCGATCCGCCTCTGAAACCAGATCTTAACCTGGCGACTCCCCCCCACCCCCTTTTCCGGCCGGTCTGTCCAAGGCGAATGTCACCGAGCACACATTGCAGCCAGAGCCAGAGATGCTGACTTTTCAGACAAAGGCTCGAACGGCTGTGCTCCCCGGCGGTAAACAAGATTTCCTTCTCTTTTTAGGGCCGGTCGCCGAGGCGCTCCAGGGGCTCGCTGGGTGAGAAAAGGGAAGCCTCCGCCGCCGCGGCCGCTCTGCTTCTGCGGGGCTGGGGCTCCGGGTTCCTCCGACCTCGGCTCGCGGCTGCGAGGGGCGGGCGGGCGGGCGGCGGGAGGAAGCTGGCGCCTTCCGCGCGCGTCCCCTCCCCCGAGTCCGGATCCCCGAGCGCCGTGCGTGCCCGCGAGTTTGCAGCCACCTCGCCGGGGCCGGAGAGTCGGCGCCGAGCTGCGGTGTGCCTCGGGCCGGGGAGGTGGGTGCGGGAGGAGCGAGCGCAGCTGACATCAGCAGCCGTCGCGGCGGGGAGGGTAGCCCCATCCGGCCAATGGGGAAATGGCAAAGAATGTGGAGGATTTAAACAAAACAGCATGTCTCTCCCGGGCTGCTGCCAGACGGCGGGGCTGCCCCGGAGAGCCGAGGCCGGCCGGCGCTGGGGAGGGTCGGAAAAGAGGGGGCTCCCGTCGGCTCCCTGAAACCCTTTGAGTCTTGTTCTCAGATGTACCCCGGGTGCCACGGTGCTCTGTCCAGCCACTCTGGGTAGCTTCTGGGGTCCAAGGTACAGGACTGTGTCCCTTGACCTTTAGAAATGGCTTTTGTTTTTTAAACAAATGCCCCCCCGAGAGCGTTTTCACTTTGATCCAGTAAACAAGTCCAGCGCTGGAGAGGCAATGGGATTTGGGAGCAAAAGAGCAAACCTGTGCATGGTTTCCTAACTGGTTTCAGGGCAGGAATGCAGAAACTGGAAAGTGCAACGCGGTGAATGAAAATGAAATCCACACGGAAAGACACACAACCAGGAGGAACGTGAACGGGGACATAGCCTTTTACCTCTCCTGGCCCTGCTCTGCAGTCTGACTGCAGGCTTCGCAGAGCAGCAAGAATAGGTTTTCCTGTCAGCACTCCCAAGTTCAAAAAGTCACAATGAAATGTCAATGAAAATGCCTGGAGTGTTGGTATTTCATCCATATTAAACAGATCCCTCATTTTAACCACAAGAGGCACATTCTTCAGTTACTCAGGAAGCTGCATGTAACTGCTGAAGTCTGTTTTTCATTTGTCTGGTATTTTTAAGCTTGTTTTTCTGAAAAGTGCTGGATGAAAAATGCATCAGTTGCCTCTTTGCAGAATAACCTGCAAGCATCATCTTTTCTTGGGAAAGAAAAAAATATTCGTGTTCTAAGATCCTGCAGCTCCTCACAGGGCTTTGGATGGCAATGCAGATGGCCTCCATATTACAGTATTTAAAATTATGAGCAATAAGTAATTAACCAATACAACTATGGTGGGCTGTGGCTAAAATCATCCAGATGGCTGAAGAGAATTTCTGTGTGAACATGATAACAAAGGCTGATAGAAAAATGACATCCTCTATCCAGCTTATATTCTAGGGAAAAACTATTTTCTAGATAAATGCTTCCCAGTATTGGCTCAGAAAGATTCACAGCAACTAATTAAAGCTAAACCAAATTCCTCGAGGTGGAAAAATCTAAATCTGATGCTGTACTGCTGAATAATAACACATGAAAGCCTGCGATACACAGAGGAAGCTCAAGCTGTTATTCTTTTTCCTGCTTCTTACTAAAACAAGTGTAGTGGCTTCACTTCTGGCACTTAAAATTCTTCCCGGAGGCAGCTAGGGGATGTAGTGGCTAGCCACACACGCATAGGCACACAGTACATCAGGATACGTGGACATATTCCTGGCTTCCCAGCCGTTCCTGACATCAGTTCTGTAAGTATTGCACTGATGAATATTATGGCTGAAGAATTACTTCTCTGCTTCTGTTGTTCAGTGCTCCGTGGTGTCCGACTCTGCGGCGCCCATGGACTGCAGCACACCAGGCTGCCCTGTCCTTCACCATCTCCCGGAGTTTGCTCAAACTCATATCCATTGAGTCAGTGATGCCATCTAACCATCTCATCCTCTGTCCCCCCACCCCCCTCCCAACTTCTCCTCCTGCCCTAAATCTTCGAGCATCAGGGTCTTTTCCAATGAGTCGGCTCTTTGCATCAGGTGGCCAAAGTATTGGAGCTTCGGCATCAGCCCTTCCAATGAATATTCAGGGTTGATTTCCTTTAGGGTTGACTGGTTGGATCGCCTTGCTGTCCAAGGGACTCTCATGAGTCTTCTCCAGCACCTGGCAAACTAAATAACCACAGATCTGCTTCTGCCCTTTCCCTCTCTGCTAAGCTGCCTTCTCCCCCGAACTCTTCCTTTTCCCTCAGTTTGCGTGCCTGGTCACATTGTTCAAGCACAACTGTAATCCTGCCACCTTCAAAACCTTAGTGACTCTCTGTGGTCTAACTGAGCAAGCTGAAATTTCTTGGCAGAAGGATCAAGGCTCTGAATCTATCATTCTTATGGAGCCTCACCATCCTTTTCCAGCCCTACTCCAGCCAAATGAAAAATATCTCTTGTCTGGAGAAGGGCTCCACTTACCTGGATGCGTCTGCTCCTGCCACTGCCTTCACAGAAAACCCACTCCTACCGGCTCCCTCGGGACCCCAGCAGGCAGCAGGGCACTGACAAGGTGTGTTTTTGGAAAGTGACTGATGTCAGTGTGTTGGATGGCTTAGAACAGGATACTAGACAGAGGCCAGAGGTTATCGCATTACTGTAATTCTAAAGCAGACAAATGGAGAGAGTCTGAATTAGCGAATGAAGAAGAAAAGATGATGGATTTAAAAGATTCAGGCAGTACTTGGGAACCGAAGGGTTTTCGCTCCAACGGCGCTTGGGGGAGGGGAGGGCAAAGGGAGCGCGTGTTCATTCATAACTCACTCACACAAAAGGAGGGGGGCGCCATCTACTGGTCAGACACCTTGCTTTAAAATGTTTCAAGTCACCGTCAGCAACAGTCTGTCGAGAATTGTCTGTTTCAACCAATGGAGTCTGCAAGGTTCATTTCCAAAGAATCTTGAAGGTGTTGCTATCATCACTAAGGATGGTAGCGATGTTCCATTAACAACGTACACTCTACAGTTTACGGGACCATCACATATTAAAACGTGTGGGTAGTGACTCCCTGGTGGTCCAGTGCTCCCAATGCAGGGGGTGCAGGTTCCATCCCTGTTCGGGGAACTAGATCCCACATGCTGCAACTAAGACCCAGCACAGCCAAATTTAAAAAATATATAATTTTTTTTTAAAAAAGTGTGGATGGGGTACAAAGGGCAAAAAGAGGAACCAAGAGTAAGTTAGCAGTGGTGAATGATACTACCAAAAGGAAATGAATATATGTCTATGACAGCATACAGTCTCAGGCGGTGACACCCTCTGAAGACAACGGATCTCAGATGCGAGATGGGGAGGTGTGCATCTCAGGCATCTGAGGAGCTGTTCAATCCACTGTCTTCACCAGAATTCTGTTGACTCACGCCTCCCAGACACTGAAACCTCTTATCAGTTCAGTTCAGTCGCTCAGTCGTGTCTGACTGTTTGTGATCCCACGGACTGCAGCACGCCAGGCCTCCCTGTCCATCACCAACTCCCAGAGTTTGCTCAGTGTCCATTGAGTCAGTGATGCCGTCCAACCATCTCATCCTCTGTGGCCCTCTTCTCTTGCCCTTGATTTTTCCCAGCATCCAGGTCTTTTCAAATGAGTCAGTTCTTCAAAGTATTGGCCAAAGTATTGGCGTTTCAGCTTCAGTATCAGTCCTTCCAATGAGTATTCAGGACTGATTTCCTTTAGTTTCCTTATCGGTTCATGTGGAAAAAAAAAAAGTAGCGTTCTGATCCACGTCTATAAATAGGATCTGAAAGAAGAGTGTACCAACAGATTTTGTGACTCTTCATGTTTTATCCCAAGAATATCCCTGGTACTTCTAAAGTAAAATGTTGTGGTTCTTTCTACCTTCCTACTCACTAGATCTAAGGTCTGTGGCTGCTTAAAAGGTCCTATCTCCTAGACAGCCATTCTAGACTCTTTATAGACAACCCTGCACTATTCATTTTTGTTCTTGTTGGTTTGCCAGGGTAGCCTTTCTGTACAAAATATCATATTCTGTAACTGAAGTGCTTCCTTTGTTCTCCAATTCCCTAACACGATGATAAGCTTCCTGAGGGGACAGACCACGTCCTGTTGTGTCTTCCAGAAAGTGTAGCCTGGTGTGAGGGATATTGTGGGTGCCCAACAGTAGTCTAGAGGATATGTGTATGAGTTCCGAGTTCTCGACCTTGGCACTACCCACATCTAGTGACGGATCATCCCTTGTGGTGGGCAGCCACTGTAGGACTTAGCAGCATCCCTGGTCTGTACACGCTGAGTATCAATGGCAACCCCGCCCCCCCACACACACACTGCCAAATATGGACATGGGTCTGGAGGGGGAAACTCCGCCAGTG